TCAAGTCAGTGTTGACTCCTGGTGACTGCCTGGACAAGTCCCTGCAGTTTTCTTGGCAAGACATTGCCTCCTTCCTCAGACTCAGAAAGAGTGACTAGCCCAAGGTCACCCAACTGGCTTTGTGCCTAAGACTCATGATCACCCAGTTTCTAGCCTGTTGCCTTAACCACTACACCAAACTGGCTATCCTGGCTTAAGTATATCAATTTTTTTCCAGTTTTACTTCTGCTATCATTTTGAACTAAGTGTTGACCAGTTTAGCCAAGGTTTGGCATTGGACGTATTCAGAGCATTCAAGGTACTTTCTGGGACTATTTGTTAAGGCATAAGGTTCCCACAGCCATGTTAGCAGGATATATCTAATCCTCGTTTTCCTACCTTACAAGATTATATTTGTTGTGCTCTGAAGGGAGTCATGGTCCATCTAACAAGGGGCACAGCCATTTCAGCTATTTTTTTTCCACCAGTGCTCTCTTGAGTGATAAACACAAAGCACTACAGGGGGAATTGTCTTTTATTGTTAAAGAAGTTCTTTAAATTGTTGCATAATTTTAACTCCTACCCTCCTAGGGGCTGCTTTGATATGTCTTAGGAAAATGGAATATTACACTTACTGTGAAGATTCCGTTTCTACATTGGATAGGAAGTTTCCAACTTCCCTTGGTGAAATGATAAAGGACTACCATTTTATTAAAAAAAAAATCTGAATTTTCTTTGAGCTATTATCAGTTTTTGAGACATAACTAGAAGGAAAGGGGTGGTACCCTCCCTCCTGATATTCAAGAAATTATTACAAATCTTTCCATCTGGCCTGCAGAAGTGAATGGGAGGAGCAACCAAGTTTTCACATTATCCTCCACCCATAGTAGCAAAGAAAACTTTACAGCAAATCCAGTATTCCATTCTGAACTGGATGAATGCAAAGAAGGGTTCTCCCTGTTCCCCATACTCAGAATTTGTCTCTGCCACATAGCCAAGGGTAGAGTGGAAAGAAAAGTATAAGCCTACTGTAAGTTTTTCTCTCTCCATGAGAGCACAGAGCAGGATTCATGCCTTCTGTCTTCCATGGCTTGCCTGACAAAACCATCTGAATAGTGTTTGAAATTTATTTTCTAACAGTAAAGCCAGTGATATTACCTGGTTGATTTTGTGATCAATAAAGCTTTGCAGATTGATGCATACATGTATCTTCACACAGGTTTTGCTGTCTAATCCTGTTCTGAATAATGCAGTGAACCTGGAGGCAGCTCAGATGCTGACAAGCAATTATCCTCTATATAGAGAAAAAGTTATACAGTGTGTCACAAATAGCAAGCAACTAGAAGGTAATAAATGCCTGTGCTTTATGTTATTAGTCATAAATACATCCTTTGAGCACTATGGGGAGTTTTAGAAGAAACTATTTGAATTGCATTCTTTAAAAACCACTATTTTATACACTGCCATAAATTTTAATTAGTATCATTGGCAATGTAACTTGAGTATGGGCTCTCTAAGCAAATCTCTCATCTCACAAAACATATTTGCCAGGCAGTGTAGAGGTTATACAGAGGTCACAAGCTGGAAAATAAAAGAAGAGTAACATTGATGTTGGGGGAAAAATAGGATTTATATATTGGTGATTCCTTCAGATACCATGTTGAAATGTTGTACCACAACAAAGACAGTACCATATTTTGATTTCAGCTCCAATACATATTGGATGTATTTTGCCACTTCCATGCATTCTGACCTCATCTTAGGATGTCAAAGATATGTCTGAATTAAATCCCATTGGAAGTTGTGTCCCTCTGGATCTCACCCAATTTGGGCCACAGAATAAAGTTTGGGGTTCTTGCCCTTACTCTGAACATAGTTTTTACTATGAGGAAATAAAAATAAATGAACCCAATTGATGCTGATGGAACTCACTTTCAAGTTAAAATGTTATGGATAAGTTGACAAGAATAAATTTCAACAGAGCTGTATAATTCTGAAATACATTTCCAGTCAAGTCATCTTGATTCCATCTATACAGTCTAAATTAGACCCTTCAGACTAGTATCAGGGTATTTCCACCCATCACCTTTCTCCTCCTCAATCTCTCCAAAGCAGTTTGAAGCAACCTGTCAATCATCTTCACATCTGCTGATGTCAAATGCTGGGAACCTGCTCAGAGTGGGCCAATCAGTGGTGTTCTTTCAGTTAACCAAAAGGAATCTGCAAAAAAAACTCACATTCAATCAGTGCCCCATTCAGACTCCTGTCTGTCTTGGAGCAACAAAACATCTTGTCACCTACACACCACACAAAAAGACCATGAAATAAATTTCTAGTTCCTGCCCCCCTCCCCCATCTACATTTGCAGTAAATGGCATGTTTGTGTATTTTGCCTTTGTTTTTGTTTTTTAAATAATCTGAATTATAATTCATTAACCTTTAAATTTATAATGGGGTAAAGGTATTAAAACCACAACAAAGAGCTGCGAAGGTATCGTGTGATGATGCCATCAATTTTGCAACCCTATTTATGACTGTATGCTGTTGTGCTGCTGAGCTCAAAAGGGAGCAATACAATATAAACAAAAGATGTACTTTTCAGGATGCAGCAACTGGCATTCCTTCAGCTATGCTAGATCAAGCCATTGTGGTGCTGAAATTCAGGAGTAGGGGAAAGGAGTGAAAGAAGAGTTTCTTCCAAAAGGGCACTGGATCTCTCACCAGAGTTTCACCATTCACAAACACACACACACACACACACACGTTATTGTTGCATTAGTATTATTAGCTTGAGTCAATCCAGTGCAAAATGAAATGCTTCTCATTGACATCTACCACTCTGGTCTAATGCAGGCAGGCAGACAATGATAGATAGATAGATAGATAGATAGATAGATAGATAGATAGATAGATAGATAGATAGATGATATAGAGGAGAGAGAGAGATGTGCACACACGCATGCATGCATGCATAATTTTGGGTAATCCCACAGCTAAGCCAGAAATAAATTGCCTTGGCTGCCATGTTTGGCCAACACTGTGGGACTAGATCTAGAGCTTCATGTGATTGGCAATCAGAGGGCACTGCTAATAATTTCATCTGCCGGTAAAATCAAATAAAGAGCTAGCTATATGAAATATTGTCTCCACATGATGAACAGACAGCGAGTCTATGTAATTTAGATTATTGTAGCTGTACTTCCTTATAGTTATTATTCCTATTGCTATTGTGAGAACTGTAGCAATTCAGTGACCTCATATTTGAAAGCGTTTTTTCATTACTGGTAGTAAACCCACTGGAATCTTCTGGTTGTAATTATATGTGGCTTAAGTCTTTGTTATTGTAATGGCATAAAAGAACAAAGACTGTATAATTGTCCAAAATATTCACAATGAACAGACTTTTTTAAACTTCTTCTCTTGTATAGCTATTGCCAGACATTGGGATACAACTTCACTTGAGTTTTATCATACGTCGAAAGAACAAAGTGGGCCACACAGCCCACACAGGTAATGACGTACAGTTAAGCTCACAAGTGCTGTAATCATATAATCATTATTTGAATATTTGAATAATTTATATTTATTTTGAAAAGCAGTATTTAGTCTGGAAGTAAAAATTTCTAGGATAACAAACAATAAAATATAAGCCCACCTGAAGATAAAATAGAAGAAGCAGCATTAGTACAAAGCCATAGATATTTAACAGAACAAATATAAAACATGATCAATACAAACACAGTCTTCCTGTTGCACCAGAAGGATAGTAAAGGCAATTCTGCTTGGAGACAACATTGTGTGGCATCACCAAAAAGTTTATCTCTCCCTGGTCTTGCCTGTCTAGCATCAGATGGAAAATAGACATAAAGCCTTACATTTTATGAGACCTACAAAGTTTGGGCAGGTTTGATCTGGAAGAATATTTTGGACTTCAAACTATTTAGGGATGGAAATGGGCCAGCATCCAGTGTTGAGAATTGGAAAGATGTGACTTTTATAACTGATCCCAAACAGCAACTTAGCAGCTGGCCTTCATGGTAATCAAAGAAGCCTTCAAAAATAAATGTTAACCTAGATAAAGCACTTTTTTTTTTTTTTAATCTGCACTCAGTCGTTACCGACTCCGCAGTGACTGCTTTTTGGACAAGTCCTTTGCAGTTTTCAA